AAGGGTAAAGGTTGAAGGTTAATATATATAGTATATATAAGGAAAATATCAGATAATGGATATATATATTACAAGGATATATTTTTATTCGTTACTTTTTTTGAAAGGGTTCGTTAATAATAAAAAATTCTTTGTTATATTCTTTGATGGTAATACAAAAAGAAAATACGCGAAATTTGTTCGTTAAGTGAAAGGAAAAGAAAGAAAAAAAAATTGATGGATGATAAGGATATCGTCGTAAAATGGAAAATTTATAAATACGGGAAAAAAAAGTTAGTATATTTTTTTTTTTTTTTTTTTTTTTTAATCTATCAAGTCGTTTTGTATCAAAAGAAAAAACTTTGTACTTTGTTGATATAAAAAAAAAAAAAAAAAAAAAAAAATTGATGACAAATGGCTGGTCTTAATATAATTAATTTTTTTAATTCATTTCGTAAAGTAAGTAAAATATGATAAATTAATGTTATATTTTATTAATTAATTCTAATAATTAAATTTCGTTTCTTTCTTTTTTTGACATGAAAGAAAGATAATTCTTCAATTAGTCAAAAATATAATAATGAAGCAAGAAAAATTTATGATGGACCAAAATTTTGGGAATTATCGGAAATTTATGAAAAAAATGATAATATTCAAAAGAAATTAGGTATCGTACATAATATATATATATATGTATAATGTATAATGTATATATGCCAATTAATATCGACAAAAACTTTAATTAAATTCAATTTTTCTTTTTATTTGAATTAATAAATTTTTTTTTCCAAAAAAAATTGGTAGAGAAATTGGTTAAGAAGTTTAATCAAAGTCTTGCTGATGAATATATGGATAAAGATCATGCCGGACCTCAAATAGGTTTTTTTCTTATTTTTTTTTTTCTAAGTAGGGATTCGCCACGCCACAGTATTTTTCTCAAAATAATTTTTGTTTTTTTGTATTTAGAGGTAGTAACGAATAAGCTTGGTAATATAACAATTCGTGCCGATGTTGAAGTGATCTCATCATTAGATGGACTTGTAAAGATTATGAAAGCTTCCGTTAATGAAAAGAAACATGTTAAAGCTGTAGGAGGTTTCGAAGCGTTCAAGTAACTTTTTTTTCCTTTAATATTAAGCATTAATAATAATTAATATTAATTCATATCAATTGTTTTTTTTTAAATATAGTCGAATTTCCGAAACTGATGGATTTCTTCTTTATACCAAAAATTATCGTGGAATAATTAAAGCAAATTCAGAATTATTAAAAGATGAATTTAAAAATAATAATATTTATTATAATGTACGATGTGGAACTACATTACGTGAAATTGTATCAGAATTAAAGAAGGATGATAGAGCTTTATTTAATTTACCTGGATATGATGGACAAGCAATTGTTGGATGTAATGCAACATCTACACATGGAAGTGGAATTACTCTTCAACCTTTAGCTTCATTTATAGCTACGGTTGATCTTGTTGTACCAGGTGGAAAAATTTACAAAATTGAACCAACAAATGGAATCACAAATCCTGATTTATTCTTAAAACGATGCCCACATATTCAACTAATACAAGATGACGAAACATTCAATGCTAGTGTAGTAAACTTAGGAGCATTAGGAGTCGTATATCAAGTAACTATTATTACAGTACCATATTATAAAGTGATTTCAATTAGAGAAGAAACAACTTGGGAAGAAGTTAAACCCATCTTATCAAAAAAACCTTATAATGAAAATGATATTTTAAAATATCATAATGCAGAAATATGGATAAGTCCTTATACACCTTACACACTTATTACAAGGAGAAATATTGCTACGAAAGAAGACGAACAAAATTATCCAAAATTACAACAGAATCATCCTAAATTACAACAAAATCATTGGACACAAGAATTTTTAGATTATCCAATTATTAAGGATATCGCTAATAAATTAAGTGCTGATGGTGGACATATATTATTCTTATTATTAAATTTATTTCCAAATACTGTTCCTTTATTAATTGAAACAGCTTTAAAAACTCAATATAATGAAATTCCTGCGGTTGATGATTATAATAATATTTATTCTATTGGATTATCTAATAATTTTAAAGCTGTCGCAGCAGAATTTTCATTTTCAATGAAAGATGATAATCATATTAAAGCTATTGATGAATTAATAAAGACATTACAAGAAATAAGAACTAACTTTAATTATAATATTAATGGTCCTATTTCCGTAAGGTTTACAGCTGCTTCCTCTCAATATATGTCTATGGCTCATAATACAAATGGTGAACCAAGATGTTTTGCTGAAATGCCAATACTAGTATATGTAAGTATTGAATATTATTACATATATATTGTATATTGTATATAATTTATATTTCTTTCGTATTTTTTAGGATACAAAGATTGACTATTATAAACATGTTTATAAACCATTATTTGGGGTAGCATTAAAATATAATGCTAGATTTCATTGGGGACAACATTTAGATTCAGATTTAGATCAAACTTATCTTTATAATTCCTTTGATAAAAATGCTATTGAATTATTTCTTAAACAAATTTCTAAATTTGATTCTCAAGGTTTAATGACTAATAATTTTTTAGCAAAATTTGGTCTTATTCCTAAGCAATAATTTTAATAATGTTACCAGTAAAATATTTAAAGATGGTAAATCTAATTGAAAGGAAAGAAAACTGGCGTAACAAATATACTTTTAATGCGCAGTAAGTTTTTAGTTTTAGACTAAACGTGATTTTATTATTTTTTATTATTATTTTTTTTTTCTTCGATTATTCAATTAGACGACGATTATTGTTTACTTTAATATAACCTCTTTTTAGAAAAAAGAGAAATTCGTAAGGTTTTTGCTCTTATATTTTACAAATGTTTATTGTGAAAAAGCAATTATGAAAATGTCTTAGCGTCTTACATCCACTTAAAATATATCATCGTAAAATTTTAATAAACCAAAGTAGGTTGCAGAATCTCTCGATAGCCATATTAAAAAAAATTATTTGGATGCAATTATTTTGAAATTTCGTAGTCTTGAAGTTTTTTTTGTAAAATATAAATACTTTAGGCGTTAGCAAGACAGTTTATCGGCCATTTCACATAATAGAAATTTCGACTTTCAAAGTTTTGCTCTTATCAAGTTTTTTTTAAAAAAACACCTAATATTTTCATAACAAATTAATAAACAAATCTTTTTTTGGCGAAGATAAATTACACTCGTATCTTTTTCATTTTCGTTATTTCCGTATCTATGATCATTTCTCCTTACTCAAACGTCAAGAAATTCGCACATTCTTCAGATAATAATAATAGCAACCAAGACTTACTGCATGATGACTTATATGCAAAGATGGTTGCTTATTTTCGGGACAATACTTTCTTTTGCTGTTGTATAGTAAGTAGTATACCTTGTATTATCTTTTCGATTTATCAGTTATAATTATTTGTATAAATAATCGTATCGTAATAATGATCAAATTTAATTTTTAGATTGATAATTTATAGAATCACGCAAGCTTCATTCAAATAAACTTATTAAATTACTATTTTAAATGACTAATTAGATATTAAACTCTTCATAAAATGTGACGTGTCCGTTATTCTTGTATTAAGAATAATAATAAATTCGTTTATTTAATTTAGTAATTAACAAATAATATTAACAAGTAAATTGTAGTGCAAAAAAAAATAATTGAAATTGAATAAAAACAAACACATTTGCAAGATATAAACTAAAATAAAATTATAATCAAAAATTGTATCGATATTATGCTTTTTGTTTTGCTTTTCTGAAAAAGAATTTTTTGATTGTAGAATATTTACTTTGAGAAGATAAACTGTAATATAATTTTTTTATATTTATAATTAGTTAATTAAATATATTACAAGTTTAAATATATTTATATTAAATACCTTTGAATTTCATCTATATCAAATTCAAGTTCTTTTGAATCATATTCTGAAAAAAATAGATAAGAAAATGTTAATAAATGTTATTAGGTTATTGACAAGATCAAATTTTTTTGTAAATTAATTTACTTTTATTATTTTTCGACCCTTTAATATTTGCACGTGACAAAGAACTTTTTATATCTGTTAAAGAGGAGCTTAATTTAAAAATAAACTATTAATCAGTCGTGCTTAAAATATTTGATTTTAAGGTCTTTCTTTTATAAAATTACCTTTGAGATCCTTTTATATCAAATTCATATTCTCGCGAAATGTATCCTAAAAAAGAATATAAAATTAAAAAAATGATATAATTTTATTTAAATTACTTTAACATTTATTATAAATACCTTGTTTTGTATTTAATGAATTTACTGAAAATAAACTTTTGATTAAAGAATTAGAAGAATTAGTATACAAAGAACTTAAAGGTCTGCTTGTATAAATTGCTTTTGAATGAGGTTTTTCAATAAATTCAGGACCAAGTTTCTTTAATCGTATTAACTCTAACCGTTTTTGCTCGGCTTCTTGTAATCGTAAAGCTTCATAATTACTAAATTTCCATGCACTATCACTATAAATTGAATTTTTAATTTCCCATGCAGTAGGTCTATTTTTAGGATCCGAATCCCAACATCTTTTCATCAAATTAGCCAAAAATTCAGGAGTATCTTCTGTAATTTCAGGACGCTTTCCATCAATAATATTGTAAACAAGATTATGATCATGTTCAATATTAGCAAAAGGTTTACATCCTGTTGTACATTCCCACATGATCATACCTAGACTATAAATATCTGATGCTTGTGAAAATTTAGCTCCTTTAAATATTTCTGGTGCAATATAAGGTATTACTCCATATATTTCTTTATTGAATAAACTATCATTTGCAGGGTGTGATAATCCTAGATCTCCAATGTGCCATCGTACTTTTGCATGTTCCCCCAAATCAGCATAAATAACTTCATATTTACTATTGGTGTATAATATATTTCCACTATGAAAATCTCGATGTACAAAATTCGCTGCATGAATTATTCGAAGTCTAAAAATAAAGAATCATATAAATAATACATAATTATGTATTTAAATAACATATTAGAAATAATAAATACCCGTCTGATATTCTATATATTATCCATATTTTTTCTTTCCATGTAATAGCTGAAAAATGAATTTGTAAGTAATTATGTAAAGTTCCTCCATTTGCATATTGCATAACTAACATATAATCATTTGTTGCAGGGTCCATTGTAACGCCATAACACAAAATAATGTTTCCACAATAATTATGAACGTAATGTGATTTTAACTATTGTTTAAAAATACTTTAATTAAAGAACTACTTCATGTATAATTTATAAAAGGAAATAGTATGTTAAAATTACCTCATTTAAAAAATATTTTTTAACATCTCGTGAATTTAGAAATTTTTTTAGAGCAACTTGAAGTTCCCCTCTATTATATTCATAATAATATGATTTATACATACTTTCGCTGTGTGACCAGATTGCTTTATAAACAATACTATATCCTCCTTTTGCTATTTCATTTAAAATTGTTATTTGTGAATATGGAATCCATTGGATACTTAATTCTAGGCGGAAAACCACGCAAGTCATCAATTCATAAACGTTTAGCAAGTTATGATCTTTATTAATATTATCTTCATAATTTGCAATTTTATGAATTGTTTTAATATTAATACGTACGCAATGGAGAAACTCATCTATGTCATCATGTCCACTACTGCTCTTTAAAATATCAGAAGAAATGTATATTATTCTTTCGCATTTCCTACATTGAGATTGATATGTAAGCCCAAATATAATATTTGTCGTCAGACAATATCTACATCCAGCATAAAGTGTATAACAACTTGGACACCATTTTTGAGAATTCGAAGAAAATATTAGGTTCAAATTACCACAAGTCATACATTTATTAGCTGTGTCCCACCAAGGTAAATAAAGAATTGGAATATATTTTTTATACGCTGACTTTATCCATCCGGAAGAAATATGATAACAATCCGAACAAATTCTAAATTTATAAAATTCAGAAAATCGTTGAATTAATTTTCCACATAATTTACAATCTTCTTCAATTTCAATTACTTTATTCTGTTTTTCAATATCAATGGCATAAAAGTGTGGTATTAAAGGATGTGAAACTATTTGTTTAAACCATGAAATTATTGAACAATTTTTACACCATTCTTGAATTTTTAATGTACAAAAGTTTTTATCTCTACTTGTTTCATGTTCTTTACAATGAACATCTTTCGTACTTATATGTACATCTAAATACATTTCATTATCAGTTATACTAGTGACATATTTCGATAGACAATTTTCACAATATTTTTGTTGAATTAAAAGCGGTTTGAAGTATTTATTTCCACAATTAAAACAATTTTCATCGTCTTGATTAAATGGAACAAACAAAATCGGTACGGGACTAGATTTTAATTTTGGAATTGGGTCAAAAGAATCTCTATTACATGTATTATCTGACTGTTCCATTTTTTTTATGTCCTAATTATTATTTAAAAATTTTTATGTCAAAGGTTTTATTTATATATTATTCAATTTCAGTAGCCGATCAATTTACTTGGCAGAATTCTTTAAATGTCTTCTTTAAAAGATTTCCAGAATTCCTGTAAAGAAATCGACAACAACTTGTACAACTAAATATGTCAATGAATCGGAATTAATATTTCTGGTGCAAAATGTTACGAAGATCATCCACTTTTTACCCGGGCTTTTTTTATTCATCTTTTTAAATAAACATCAAAAGGTATTGTTCCATGTATTTCTTTAGAATATTTGCTGTTTGTGTTAATACTAAATCACTAATTTTCCAGCCTTATCTTTTATATATTTCCACTACTAGTATGCAAATCTCGACCTAACTATTTGTTTATTAATAAATTAAAAATATAATTACCCTTATGATATTATCCATACTTTTTTTGTAAATTTCCTCCATTTCCATATTGAATAACCAACATATAATCATTTGTTGCAGGGTCGCATTGTAACGCCATAACATATATAATAACGTTTCCATTGTTATTGTGCCTGTAATGTGATTTAACTATTATTTAAAACCGCAGAACGCAAAACCGCTAAAAAATACATTATGATAAATGAAATAAAAAAATATTTAATTAACCAACCCATTTCGCAATCTATATATTTTTTAAAAAATTTAACGTGTCGCCAAACAGACTCCGGCTTTATTGTGATTTCGCAACATATTTAAAATATATATATATCAGATATAATTACTAATCATAATTACCTCATATTAGATTTATAATAATGTGATTTATATATACCTTCGTCCTGTGACCAGATCGCTTCATAAATAATAGTGAATCCATTGAATATTTTGATTCTAGGCGTAAAACTTCAACGTATAATAAATTCATAAACATTTAGCAAGTTATGATCTTTATTATTATTATCATTCATATTAACTTGCAATTGCAAACGAATGCAATGGAGAAACTCATCCATGTCATCATGACTAATTGAAATATCAGAAGGAGTGTATATTTTCTTAAATTAAAATTTAAAATCCAAAGATAATATTTGTCATCAAACAATATCTATATCTAATATAAAGTATGTTACCATTTGAAGAAAATATTAGGCTAAAGTTACCACAAAGATTACGGTACGATTTACAGACGGCCATTTCACCGACATGAAATTAACCGTCATCATTCTGCTCGACTTTCATTCTGCCGACTTTCATTTTACCGACATAAAAATTTACTTAACTTCATCTTACCGAAATGACATACCGAATTGTCATTTCACCGAAAATTTATACTAGCTGAGCCTCACTCTTTACTGCGGCTTGATTTCAAATTATTCGACCATGATAATCGTTCTCTAAATTTTAAGGGCTTTAAAAAAAAATTAAAAATTGTGGACTTATTTACTTTCAAATTGCAATAATAAAATTAAAATTTATTCCATAAATAACTTCCAATTTTATAATAGTTGTTTCATTGAAATGGAAATTGTTTCGGAAGAATGTGATGTCGGTGAAATGGCAAGTCAGTAAAGTGAAGTCAGTACGGTGAAACGGGTGTCGGTAAAATGGGTGAATACGCATCTAAATACATTTTGTAATGTGGCATAATTGCGATAGACAATTCACAAATAAAACAAATTTCATCATCTTGATTAAAAGAAACAAACATTGCGCGAGAACATTGAAAAGTTTTCATCTTTAACACTACTAGATATTTTATATTTTCTGTAAAAACCCAAAAATTCTACAGGATTAAATTATAAATTGCGGAAAACTATATACAGTATCCGGTACAATATTAATTTTTGATGCCCTGAAATTGTGCCAAGCATTTTTATTAATCAATTTACCATCCGTATAAGGAAATTATAAAATTTGGGTGGCCGAAGATTGATCTAAATGTTAGTCAATTAAAACCAATCAACTGAACAGATAAAAATTTTTTAAGTCAGTACACATTAGTTTGTCTACAATAAATCAGTCAACTTTTAAGTTATCTAATCTAATTAAAAATAAAAAAACTCAAAATTTAATAGTCTAAATAAAAAAAATTATCAAAATTGTTGTTATTTCAATAAATTCCAGTAAAAGTTTATCATAACAAAATACCGTATAACAATCCACTTTAATTCGGCCAAAATTTGTAGTTACTAGATTACTAAACTATTCCTTATCTTCTAAAATTAGAAATAATTGCATTAAAAAAATTAAGTAATTTCAATTCATCTGATCGAATCTCAGACAGGATTTTGGCTGTCAAGATTTCATCGGGATTCAATCGGGATTTGCATTTATCGGGATTTTGGTGTCGGGATTATGGACTGTCGATATTGTGGGTGTCAGGATTTTTTGGTGATTTTGGCCCTTATAACTCAAATTTATTATAGATTTGCAATTCTGGCCGGTATCATAAATTTGGCTAGAATTAAAACAGCATTAAATTCAGATGACTTAAATAACAAATGACCTGATCATTTGACATCACCTTATATATATAGTAAAGTGTCTCCAAGGTATCAATCTAATCTTTCTTGATGAATAGGGAACCGGGCATTGACAATTTTTTAAAAATGCATAATTCTGGTTTTTTTATATTTTTTTATGTACCCGATATTTTTCGGTAATAATTGTTCTCGTGTTTTATGACATTAATACATCTTAAACAAATTTGTAATTTGCAATTTATAATCTTTACTTCCTATTTAAATATAAAAAAAAAATAACGTAATAAATATAAAAGATAACCAATCATTGTCTATAAAAACAAAAATGAATCTATAAAATTGTAATATAAAAATGAAAGAGCTAATAATTTTTATTATCTGTAAGCTGGTCCTAATTATTAATGTTATAAGATGGAAGCGATAATTACTAAATGATTATGTCATAAATAATAATTGATAATTCCAAAAAAATAGCAATAGAAGAATATATAGTATTTCAATAATAAAATCAATAAATTAGATCTATATCATTATAAATTTATAATTTCCACTACACACAACTAAGATTAGAATGGCAAATTGTTTCTCTACACTCCAGCGACTTGGTAGTCACGTGTCATTTGGGTCATTTTGAACAAATGATATAGTAGTTTAAAAATTACATCATGTCTCATAATTCTGCCCAAAATTATAATGTACAATTTCAACGGATGTATATATATCACGTGATATTATATATTTGATAATTCTAGCTGGCATCATAAGTTTGGCCTAAATTATACAGCATTAGAGTGCCATTGGGTCATTCAAGGGTCATTCAGGGGTCATTCAAAATGGCCAACGACCCAGCCAATTTGAACGTCATTTTTTACAATTCGAAGCTTCAAATTACCACAAATATGCATTAATTAGTAGCGTCTCACCATGATAAATAAAGCAATTGGAATAGTTTTTTATACAGTATATAATGATTTCTATCCATCCGGAAGAAATACGAAGATAACAACCCGAACAAAATTCTAAATTGGATAATTCCACATAAATAATTTCAATTTTAAATTATTTTTTATTTTGTTTTTTCAATATAAAAGTACGATTTTGTAAAATGAACCCATTTGTTTTAAGCCAATTGAAAACTTATTAACAATTTTCTAATTGTATAATGTATAAAGTTTTCAACTTTTCATCCCCCCTTTACAGTTGAAAATCTTGTACTTCTAAATACATAACATTAATGACGTATTGTGATAAACAATTTTCATAATATTTTTGTTATATTTACTTCCACAATTAATACAATTTTTCATCATCCTTAATAAAAAAGAAACAAAAAAAACCTGTAATGAACTAGATTTTAATTTTGGAGTTGGATCGAAAGTATTGTATTTGTATTTTTGTCGATTCCATTTTTTATTTATTATTATTATTATTATTATTATTTTATGTTTAATTAAAACAACAAAAAATTTTTTTTTTTTTTATACTAAATTCATATATTTTTTAAATAATATAATTATTAAAAAAAAAAAGATTATTTGGAAAAGATTTTCCGAGGAAATATTATCAACATTTGATATACACACAATGTTAACGGAACAATTTGCAAACTAAAGGAAATTTTGTTCCGTGATTTACCGACGGTTCGTTTGCTGTATCACAATTACGTACGTAATTTCATGAAATTTCAAAAAATCAATAACGGGAAGTTTCAATTAAAAACTTTATTTTACGGTATTTCTTTGAATGAAACTTTATTTTTTTCTATATTAGAATGAATAAAAAAATTGGAATTTCATTCTTAAATATATTGAAAGATTATCGAACTTGGCGTAGACGGGCGTTATTGTACAACTTAATTGTTCGGGAGTATATTTAACGCCTAAAGGAGAAAGGTCTCCCTTTCATACATTTTTTTTTTGATTTTATTATAATCACCCATTTTAAAAAAAGACATAATATTAACGAACCCAAATATGGAAATGATCTTGTTAATTTCAGGTCGTAATCCGGTTATATTATATTAGGTCCGAGTAGTGTCATCATAAGAACATCATATGTCATATAAATCATATGACGATAATCAATAATATTGAACTTTCGTGAACGAACGAAACAGGATGTTCGTGCAGCATCTTCAATTTGAAATTCTCTCCTTCTTTATGACCAATTTTTCATCTTTAAGATTTCCAAACTTTTGATCAGATTTATATAACTATAATATAAAAAAGGATCGTTCATTTTGATTAAAAATTGACGCCAAGAAAAAAAGATATTCCGAAACCAACAATAGCTATAAGATTGACTTTTCCCTTCTTGTTTTTTTAAGGTTAAACAAAAAATTGATAAAAAAGGATAAATTAAAAAATAAGAACAATTAAAGTATCTCCTTAACACAATTCAAAAAAAAAAATTTTTTTTTTTATATTAGAACGCGTATTCTTTTTCTAGACATTAAACCTAAATAACCCCTGTAATTCAAAATTAATTGTATACTAATATTTTACTAGTTAACTAGTAGTTAACTCACCGACAATTACTTCACCGACAATCGCCGACAGGATCTTCTCACCGACAGGTCATCTCCCGCCAATTAATTTTTTAATAAAAAAAATCACCATTATATTTTTGTATAAATATATTATTTTTTTACGAAATAATGTATACATATAAGGAAAGATGTATATAGTATGAAATTATCAAATCTCTTTCTTATTGGTTAAAATTATCATCCCATTTTCTTCTATCTAAATTGCGAAGTGAAGTTGTTCCTTCTATTCATAATAAACATAAAATTAATGTTCATAGCTTTAATGTTTACTATGATTATTTATATATTTAGCTGTATGAGCAAGAAAAGTAGTATTTTTTAAATAATAAAATATTCAATGTTTGTTTTATGATAAAAAAAAATTTTTAATTTTCTTTAAAAATAGCTTTGCACTGGGATAATAAATCATCGGTGTAACAAACGTCGGTAAAATATAATAACCCTTTCGGTGAATAGCTAGTAAAGTGATTGTTGGCGAAATGAACCAGACCTGTATAACTGTATAAAATATATCGGGTATATTGTATAATACGGAATCATTTCTCGAAATAGTAATATTAATAAAAAGGGTTTATGATATTAATTCGTAATGATATGGAATATTATTTTTTTTTGATGATATAATATCAAGTTTTTTGCAAGGATCGCATTATAATTTTAATTTTTCGATAGATAGCTTCGAAATTCTTAATAACGATAGCCACGATCAACCCGCCTTGATTTTTCGCGTTTCCCTGTATATCATCACATGAGGTAAAGTCTGAAAGCTTGGCAAAAAAAAAAAAAAAATTTAAATATAATTAATCAATTATTGTTCTATTAACAATATGTATACTTTTTTTTATGAAGTGAATAATTTAAGTAATTTTTTTTAGAAAAAATACTATTTCGCGTGATTAAATTGCATATCAATACCATTTCTAAACTTTATCCTTTTTGAATTCATACATCAAGGATTGATCTGATAATTCTAAAAATAAACATACAATACGGTCAATACCATAAAATCTGATATAAAGTATATCATAGTCACTTTTAATCTAATTATGGTAAACAAAAAACTAGAATAGAAGAATGGTTCTTTTTTATTTTGCCGAATCTTCATTCTCGATCAGGAATTCCGTCAGGATTAAAAAATTTAAAATTAGAAATCTAAAAGGTATGTATTACTATAATAAATAAAAATAATAATTTTCTATAAAAATTTATTGAAAAAAATCAAAAAAAAAAACTAAATCTGGAATAGGCTTAGATTTTGATTTATATCCAGTTAACTGTCATTTTTATTTTAATAATTATAACTAAGTCGATCTTAAGTTCACTCCCGTAAAAATATGAGTTAGTCATTAATGGTCTATAAAGCATGATGATTTTACCATATATTTTAAATTCATATGAATAATTAGATATATATTACCTGAACTATTTTAGGTATTGAAATCAAAATAGATAATGGCAAATTTTCTTCTTCTAATCCTTTTATTATACATAGATGGATTAGTATAAAAATATTAAAAATCGGAAGTCAGGATTTTCTTTATTTCCTGGGCAAAGGAATCATATGTACAACAATATGTAACCAGGTGATTGGCAGAAAATTCAATTTACACTTATATGGAAATTATATCGGGATAAAACGAAAATGGGTAGATAAATAATCAATGAACGTACTTAATTGAAAAAATATTTATATGGACTAAAAAGGAAGCACACTATGATTAATAAATTTGGAAGATCATAATCGATTTACCCAATTTATTCATTTTAATGATAATGCCAAATTTATAACAGAAAATATTGTTTGTGATCTAGAATTTTGAAATAAATATTGTATAACATGATTATATAAAGATAGATCTACTGCACGATACTATAATTTAAATCGAACTTTCTAGCTTTTGAATCTTAGAAAATACAGCGAGAAAAAAAATAAATTAAAAATAGATTATAATAAATATTAACGAATTTTTAAAACAATTTTCTTTCAGACTATACTTTATAGAAATTTCTAAAAATTTTATCATCATCACACTAAATATGCAGTGACCGCATCATCGTAATACTGTACCTTTAACAAACATGCATAGTTTTACCATGCATGTTGCATATTAAGATTTTTCTAAAGCATTTCTTTTATTTTATTTATTTTAGATTGTAAAAAATAACACACGTTAACTAAAAAGGCAGTTCATGGAAGAATAGATTATTTATCTATCAACGAACCTCCCTTGAATTTCGGAGTTCGAATAAATTATACAAATATGACAAATATGACATGCAGTTTATTTATTTCTCAATTTAGAAAATTTTTTTTAAGAAAGAAATGCTTTAAATTTACTAGATTGTTAATAATATAATGTTTATCCGGGCATTTAATTAAAAAATCAAAAAGATTCGAATACGGAATTCACCATAATTATTAATTAACTAATAATGTCTATCATGCAAATGATCCTTGATCGTGTAAATTTACTTGCATCAATCATCAATTAATTTTTTATTGTCTATTAATTTTAATATAAAAAATAAATCATTAAATGAACCCATATAATAAGTACTATGAAAAAATACAAGTTTATGAGTTTGAATCAAATGAAAAATTTGAGTGCCATGATAGCATATTTATCGTAATAGATACCATAGCATATATCAAAAAGAAAATTTTCATATAGATTAAATGATCGTGATAATATTACATATAATGATTTAATAACATCTTTTATCATATGAAATCAAAATTTTGGGTCTCGTATAAATGCTCTTATAATTTGATTACGAAAATTTTGTTGTGTCACATTAAATCTACCCATTTCTTGTAGAAAAATAAGTATAATATTTAAATTTACGTTTTAGATTTGATGAATTTTCTGCAACTAACTATTAATGTAAATTGTTTTTTTGAGTTATGACATAATTGGGTATAATGTAACATATTCATATATGCAAGTGGAATTATGGTGTTACAGTTGTTTGATTATTGAAACATCTTAAATGGAAAAATATAAAGAACCATTTATGTTATTAATATTATGAAAAAGTAAAGAGATATCGCACATAACTGACACAAGATGAAGTAAGATTTAACATAAGCAAATGATCTAATCAAAGTAATATTTGATATCTTTTAAAAAATTTATGCTCTTTATCTCCTAAATTTTATATGTTTATCCCCCAAATTTTATATGTCGGAAACATACTTCAAGAAACCGAAATATTATTGACTGTTCCTATTTCGTAATATATGTAATATAATATATGCTGTTGATTATTTATTACAAGCCTATCGGACTTTACCTTCAAATAAAGAACTATGATTCAAAATAGTATTAGATTCCTTAATTTATTTGTCTGGTAATAATGGCGATCGAATTAGTGATAATAACGAACGGTAATTTATTTATTTAATTAGTTTTAGAATGAAATTTTTTTTTTTTTATTATTGACTTTAAGGAATCATTTTAAATAAATAATTTATTTATTTTACCCGGAAATAAATATGAAATAAAATATATCTCCCAATAAAAAAAAGAAAAAAAATATATTTACAAAAAAAAAGAAAGAAAAACTCCAATATTGCTATTTACAAATATGATGATGATAATTATGATTTATAAAAAATAGGAATAAGTTAATGTGATGATTATTCTAATATTAAAATTATTATTATATAGGAAAAAAAAAAAAAAAAAAGAGAATAATTTTTGAATTATTTACAATCCCAAACTATTCCTACCAAATAAAACCTCTATAGTGGATCTTTTATTTCGACCAGATGTTGTAGCAGTAGTAGTGATAACATTAATATTATCATTATTATTTGTATCATAATTAATTATATCATTACTAATAATAGCGTTAACATTGTTTATAGAATTATCTGAAACAGTGGAAGTAGTAATATTTTCATCACTACTACCAGTATAAATCATGTGAGAATATTTTCCAATCGTATTTGAATATAATCCAGTTATTAATACTAAACTACTAAATATATTTGATACATCATTCATTGTTCTCATTATCCAAAATGATTTTATTGATATTGGTAAAAATAATCTTGAAACTTTTTGAAATGTTAAAAATAATAATGATATTATTACTAATATTGTTAATATTCCCGACTAAAAAAAATAAATAAATAAAAATTTTTTAACACGTTTTTTTTCTTTTGAATAATAATAAATAATCGGGATTTAACTTACAAGGAAAATTTCTTTACGAACGGATTTTCTTGAACCAGCAGGTCGACGTTCTCTACTTCTTCTTCTTGTTTTCTGTTCATGAATTCTTGCAAAGACAATTATAATACCAAAAGTTCCAAATGTAGTAATTACGATCATACAAAATAATACTTCCAATGTGATAAATATCACATTTAATATCATTATAGATATTTTAATTTCCTTTGGTGAAAATTGAAGTAAATAAAATATAATAGATGCTGTTTTTATTAATATAGCTAACACTGTTCCACCTTGAAATATTCGACTCAATTTATGAACAAATGTTATATTATATTTTACTACTTCTGTTAAATTTCTTGTTGCTTTTATCCTATTAAAAAAAAAGTTCGATTAACGAATGATATAAAAATAAATAAATAAAATTTTTTGTAATTATGGAAACTTACCACGGAAATAAATATATTGCGTAACATAAACATAGTATGTAATAACCCGCCATGAAGATAATCTCATAATAAAACTCCGACAAATGTATCGGCCACGGATCATATCCCAACATAACAAGGAAAACTAAATTTCGATTATTAATATAATAAATAATAATAAATTAATTTCACGAAATTTGTTGAAATCTATTAATATCTAAATGATAGAATAAAACTTACTAAATGTATAAGATAAAATTGCTATAAATAACCATAATCTTGGATTTGTATAATTATATTTGTAATTCTTAATGGCAAATATAAAAGATGAAAAAGTCAAGATTGCAACTGATGAATAGAACATTTCAAAGAAAATTAACCATATTTTCCATTCTTTACTCTGAAATAATCTTATCCAAGGACCTGATTCAGGTATATATTTTACAAAAGAAATTTGTGGTTCTAAATCCGAAATTTGTATTGCATCTGATACTCTTATCAAAGCTAATCTTGATTCAGATTTTGATAATATATCAATATTCCCATAATTTTCTCTTATACCAGGATCTTCATTCATTGATGTAAATATTATTATCGGTGGTGAATTTAGTAAAGATTTCCTAGTTTCATTTTTAGTTTCAGAAACGGGAATTGTTGTTTGTACCGTATAAATATGTTGTAACCATTCGTTACTATCGGAGAAAAGAAAAAATTTTTTTTTTATTAGAAATCACGTGAGGATCAGATGATTCACATGATCGATCGAATTAGGTACTTTTCTTTAAAACCAAAATAACCCCTGAATTATAAACAAAAAAAAAAACTATTTGATCGTCTATTATATTACTAATTATAGATAAGCCTGAACACTCGTTTATTTTTTTCCAACATAAAACGGGAAATGTGTGGTTTATTGTTTGTTTATTATTTGTCCACTCTTTTTTCTCTCCTTCACAAGGAATCTCGAGGACTTTATTTTTTTTTTTTTTAATTAAAATATATTTATGTTTGTAACATATATATTTTTTATTTGACTTCAAAACAAGATCTAGAGAATTAATCTAAATATCGAATTTTTTTTTAAAAAAAAAATCTTCTTACCTTTGAATTATGTCAGAATAAGAAGAACATCCACGATTCGTCATGGCTTCATCAAATCTTATCAATAAAACTGTAATAGTTTCTTGTGTATGAGGTTTGTTTAGAGTACATGGCAATGTTGTTGGATCTTCCGAAAATTCACCAATTTTTAATATTCCATTTAATGAATAAGAATTAAAATTAGAAGAGTTTAAATTTACAGTATCGAACGATCCTAATTCTTCCCTATTTACATTAAATAGTATTAATTTTGCTGTACAATATGTACTACTATATATAATTAATAGTAGTAATATTGTTATAAACCTGTGAAATTTTCCAGTATACATTTTAATAGTGACATGGAAATTTTTTTTTTTTTTAAAAAAAAAAGAAAAAGAAAAGAAAAGAAAAATAAAAATAAATAAATAAATAAATCAACAACAATTAAATAATTTTATTTCAAGTAAAAGATCATAGACTCACCCAAAATCTTCTGGTTTCAAGATTTCATAAGTACTTGGATTATTTAAAATTGCTTTGGCGTGAATACCAGCCTTATGAGTAAATGCACAATAACCGGTAATATAATTATTAAATGGAACTTGAACGCTAACTGCATCAGCTACCAAATTTTCGAGGTCACGTAGCATATGAAGCTTATATTTATTCTTGATATAATTCTTGTCTGCGGTGTACATACGAGCACAAAATCCACCAAGAGGAGTTATACCGTTACGCTCACCAATACCAAGTACTGAGGTATCGATATGAGTTGCACCAGCCTCGAGAGCTAAAATATCAATAAATGAATTTATAAGAGTTTAAATCGTTATAATAATTTAATACACGAAAAAAAGGTTTTCTTACCTGCATAAGCATTAGCGATTGCACAACCAGTATCATTGTGAAAATGACATTCAATATCANATATATTTCTATGATAAATGACCGTTAATTATTTCATTGTTATTTGTTTAGGGTTGAAATTTTTTTTTTTTATATATAACGCGTATCAGAGTACCAAGAGTACAAAAATTTTGGTATATATTGGATATATTATTATTATTATTATATTTATTATTATATATGTACAGTATATATATCATTCGGAAATTTGTGACCGTATTTTATACATATAAAATATATAAATAAAATATAACTGACCATTAAAAGAAATATGAATTAACTTACGAAAAATACAATATTATTATTATATGGAAGATCTATCCCTGAGAAATGTCATCATTATTATCATAATTCAGTAATTCCACTTTTTATTGTTTAAAAAAAATTTTATTTTTTTTTTCCAATTCTATAAATAGAACTAAGAAGATTTACACTTAAAAAGATTTCTACTTTATATGTAAAATAAATAATTAAAAATTTTTATCATAACAAGACGGAACCATGGGAGTACACCATTAAACCCAAATATTACACTATACTTGAAAAAAAAACCTGATTATTTCCGGAATAAACCTTTTCGACTGTGATTTACCCATGTGTTTGATAATCAATTTAATTACGGCTAAAATTTTTTTCTATTTATTGTTTTCCTGGGCCCAAATAGTAACTGTCAATACACAGAAAATGATGTTGCTCGATGTGTAACAAATAATAAATTAAACAAAGGACACAAGTCTGAAGTCTCATCCCCTGAAATATTATCACATCATTAGTTACTAGTTATCTAAAGACATTTATGATATTCACAAAGGACATATATTCAATATGTTCTCATATTATCATATTGAAGTATTTCTTTGTCACATAAAAATAAGGAGTCTAAAAAAAAAAAATGGAAGTTTTTTTCTTTAATTCTCGTTCGCCTTCTTTTATTCTTTTGCATTTAACGTTATGCGGAGTGCTTAATATTAAACTGCATGGAAACAGTGAAACTTGAACACGACTGATAGTTAATTACTGATAAGGTTAAATTACTAATTAGTTGTTGAACTGTTGATCCATTATATCGTACAACTGCATTTGTTGAGGGGGGATCGAACATTACCTCATTTACTTGAAAAAGGGTTTAATTGTTAAAAACTAACTGTCTTGTGTAGTTGAAATGAAATTGTGTAATCATTCTTATCATATTTTATCATTAGTCAATTACTTATCATTTTCTATCTGAGTTTCTTGTTTATTTCCGAAGTTTTTGTACATGTTGCAATATTTATTTGTTATTCTGTATTTATTTGGTATGATATAATTTTTAAACTGTGCCAGTTAAGAAATAAACAAAAGAATATAGAAGTTGATACCGAGAAATTTGTGATGTGATATTACTTATATATAACTATATCTTCTATTTTTCTTTTTTAAGAAATTTACTTCACATTATGAAAATATATCACATAAATTCAATTGAAATTTTTTTAACTTGTTTTTATTCTTTTTATTTTATTTGATTTTTTTGTATAAACAATGGTTATTTCAAATAAGTTTGAAACATCTCATGTTTTATGAATTTTAGTTGATTTTTAACCTGATGGAATCTTAGATAACATTTTACTGTAAAAAAATTTCAAGTATTTAATTATTTAATACATTTTTTAATATATTACCTTAATTTGCACGAATAAGAGTATTGAGTACTGCGATGGGTCATGGGGATTTGCAAATATTTATGATATTTATGCAGCTGACGAATTATTCTTTGCATAATATGTGTCGCAAGTTACGCAGGACGCGTAAATCCCCGTTTATTTGATTTGTTAAGTACGTTAATTATAAATTATAAATAATAAATAATTGTTATCAATTTATGAAAATTTCATCGAATGAATGTACTGTGGAATTGGTGTAAGAATTTAACGTATAATATTATACATCGGCGTGACAAATAAAAAAAAAATATTATACATTATATAAGATCGAATCAAAACTTTTTATTATTATTTCGTTTAAAATATGGTTTCTAAACGGTATAACATATTCAAGTCCATTAAAATAAATGAATATGCAATTTTTTATTACACGTGTCAATTTTGCAATCATATTTTTTTATTTATTATAATAGTTTTGATCTTATTAACGTTATTAAAAGGTGTTTCAGAAACGTATCAGTCGTATATTGTGATCTTATAACAAAATTCTATAAAAAAAAAATGTAAATTATATTTTTTTGCCTCTTTTGCCTCAAGCAAATCTGGTTTTTTTTTTCGTTAAATTAATTCCGGCCAACATTAAATGATTTGCATAAAAATTACCTTTTCTAGAAACTCGTCAGTTACGTCGCCTCGATATACAAATAATCTTAAAAAATTCATCAAATTTTAGTTTTTAAAAACCTTTAAGTAATCGATAATCAGCTTAATCATTATGATAAATAGTAATTATAAAAATAAGAAATCGAATAATTGAAGAGATTCGAGATAATAATATTTTTATAGAATCACTCACGGAACAGTTTCTGATCATTTTCTCAACATAACACCAGCTGGTCAAATCTAGCAGGAAAATAAATGCTCTGTTGGAAATTGTCTGTTGTACATCAAAAAGTTAATTATTTTTATATGAATTATATGAATTTAAATATTGTCAATTTATTATTATAATATGAAAATATATCAGATATGTAATAAAGTAAATTACAATAAATTGAATATATAGAGGTTTGACTGTATCTTATTTTTTAATAAATGCTGGTATAAAGTAATAAAAAGCATTAGTAATAGCAATAAATTCTAGTATATTTTATAGAAAATTGCTAAAGCTCACCGGCGGTGATGGCCACCGTACCAGCATTATGATGTGCTTTCGAACCCTGCTTCTCTATCATTTTTTCTGAATTATTCATATCACATAATAAAGAATACGTTTCAATTGATTTAAAATATATTATGTATGCAAATTTTTTTTGATTTTACAAGCTTATTACATTTGTGAGAAGTGATATAATAAAAATTTATTAAAAACTATGAGGTGAAACTATGATAATTATTTTTTGTTTGATGAAACTAGAGATAGATGATCTTCCATTGCACGCACTGATGGCATATTCATTGCAGTCAAAATTGCTTCATTTGATAGGCATTTAATGTCATAAGCAAATCGCTTGGTTGGTCGACGATGCAAAAAATTATAATTTATAAGTGAATTAACTTGTTTAGAACCAATTTCTTTAATCAACTCCCTTTCTAAAATATATCCCTAGTTCTTTGCATTTACTATTGCTTCCATAGTTTTGATTAAATCATCATCTTTCCAAAGTGGTGGTCTGGACTTATACGGATGCAATTCATTAGGATTGAGACCACAGTACAACTTATCATATTCTAATTCATAGACTGAAAAGTCCCTATCTGTAAAACATTTTTTTTTAAAACATTTTAGATTTTTAAAATTAACAAAAATACATATTCTTTGAAAATAAAATCCAACATATACCTGCAAGCTTCCCTTTAGATCTTTCGTATTCACCAACATACATGTCAATAATCAACATACGTGTGCCTGTTATTTTGCAAACCTGGTCAAATTTGCCTTCAAGCTCTTTGCATTCTAATAACAAATACCATCATGTGAGCCACAGTAAATATAAATAAATGGGTTCAGTAAAAACATACCATATCGAGGAAGAACATGCTTTTCAAAATATTCTTCAGCTTCTTTCTTGCTCAAATCTCCAACAAATATATGGAGTTACATGTGGAATATGCAATTCTATTGAAACAAATGTAAATTAGAGAATTATAATCTTAATATTGCTACTAAATATGATTATAAGGATTATAATTTGACTTACCATTTATGATCCAATCAAGAAAAAATGAATCAGAAGAAGTAAGAATAGCATGAAAGCTTTTTTGTTCTTTTGTATTTAAAACCAGCCAGTCAAGAAATGATTTGAGAAGTTCTTGCCCTCCATTCAGACTGTTACCAAGTCTACTAAATCTGTTTGCTTCATCAATGACCAAAATGGGTTGTGGTAATTTATAACTATTCCAAAAGTTCCAATCTGGAAGAGCATTAGCAATCTTATTAAACAATTCACTGACTATACATGCTGCCCAAATTATTTTGGAATGCCATAATTATAATTTGGGATGTTATAATTCATTCAGTTTATATATAATTTACTATGTAAAGTGCCAAAATAATTTGGGATGCCATAATTGAATTTGGGATTTTACTTATAATTACAGCAGTCCAAAATAATTTGGGTGGCATGTATATCACTGACTTTAGCAAAAGTGATTTCTTCCTTTTCTTTTTTAGTAGAAGATAATTCAAAATCAGGAATATTGGCCTTAAATCCCATCTCAAAGTTTGGCAAATTCTTTAGATATTCTTTTTGTTTATCAAAAAATGTTTTGAATTGCCTGGAAAGAGAATTGTATACATTTTCTGGAGAGTCAAATTGTCCACTACGGCAGTTAATAAAAATAGGGTTGAAGTTTTTATCATTAGTCAATATCTGATGGACTAAGGTGGTTTTTCCAGTACTAGGAGGTCCTAGAATAACATGAAGTTTAGGAGAAAAATCACTGAATGCTTCTCTGAAATTAACTAGTTCTCACTTTCAGTTAAAAAAGACTTTAGTATTTGCATTATGAAGAGAACGAACAATATAACCGTTACTCAGTTTATTTGAAATAAAGCTACTATCAGGTAAGCGTTTGATCAAACTGAACATAGCTGTATTGTAATATAATATAGAGAAATATAACAGCATGATTACAAATTTTACAAAATTAGTACTGAGATGACTAATTTTAGGTTATATGCTATTTTAATTATATAAGTTGATGCACTGTTGATGCTTTTTGTTTATCAGATGTTAAAAAAAAATAATTTTTATTTTATTATATTTATACTTTTTTCGCATATACTTTGGCAAAAAAAATGCATTAAATTACAATATTTTCTTTATAAAATCATACATTTGTAAATAGCTAAACATTATAACTATAATATTATATTAACTTTTATTTTATTTATTTCTAAACATATATTTAATATAATTGTAATTAGAAGAAAATTAATTACGTAGTAGAATATAATAAGTTTCAAATACATTGATTAATGTATCCTAATTGAAAAAGGATGTAAATAATAATGAAATTTAATTTATATCTTATTGTCAAATATTATATGACTTATTTTTTTTTTTGTTTTTTTACTAAACAAAAATGAAACTAATTCACTAATAATTATGTCACAAAAATTTGTTTGGTATACAGTTAAATCTCTATATAATCACACTCTATAAAGTCATGTCATATAAAATTTCTTTATATAATTACACCTTTGAAAAGTACCAATATATATAATTATATAAGATTAGTTTTAACCTGAGATGATTTAATTGGGATAATTTAACCTGATAATTTTCATATAATTATTCTAGGTGATTTAACCAGGATGATTTAATCCAATAATTTATTATATAATAAAATTATATTATTATGATATTTTATTTATATTACATGAAACATTTTTCACACATCCAAATACACATATAAAGTTCACTTTAGTATTTTGCAAATATAGTTGTCCCTCTTTATAGTCATCCCCTATATAAGCACACCCTCTTTTAAGTTATACCACTTTCAAATTCTGATTTTTTATATAGTGAAATGCTTCTTATATAGTCACAAATTGATTATAGTCACTATCACAGGCTAAAGTTGACTGCCTAAACCTCTTCAAAATTCTACGATTAGTTTCTCCAAAATTTTACTATAGTTTTATTATAGTTTCAGCAAGGTTTTAGCAGTTTTAGAATTTATAATAGGTTTTGTCAGGTCTTGTATTTCTCCAGAGTTTTGTCAACTTTTTAATAAGACTTTCATATAATTTTGGCAAAGTTTCGCCATTTCAGCATTTCACCAACTTGCCAAAATCCCCTAGTTTCTCCAGCAACCTACAGCGATCATTGATCTGATGTAATAGTTAACATATGGAAAATTCCTCACTTATAGTTATTTCACGTGATTAAAAGTATATAGATCTTAGCGAAAAGAATGGCAGTCAGTTTTTTTGATATCACAAATGTAATTTATAGTAAAATGTGAAATTTTTTTTTATTTTCTGAAAGAGGAACAGAAAATACATATATTTCATTATTTAAATAATATTTGATATGATTATCTTCCCATGTTAATAAATGCTTTAATTTAGTATTGCGTATTATTCGCACTTTTAACCAGCATTATTTTATTATGATATTTTAATATTTTTTTAACTTTCTTGCCATCTAGAGGTCAGATTGAGACAAATTTACTACCATTGGATTCCTCTTGGCTATGTAGTTCAAATGGTGACCTCAAAATTACTGTGTAGTATCTGTGTAATGTGATAGTTCAAGTATAATAGTAAGTATTATGAATTTTTATGTTGTATAAAGATAATCATTTCTAAAAGCAATATAAAAATTCAATAATATAATAAAAGACCATTATTTAAATCTTGTAATTGCAAGAAATCTAATAGTTGTAATTTTGTTTCAATACAAGCTTTGGTTGATGAGAAAATGAAGTTTAAACTTTTTATTTCAAACTTTCATACCAAATTCAAAAAATTATTAGTAGTATTTCTCTGTGATAATGTGATATAACAAAATGCAATTATAATATTTGGCAGTTAAAAGTAAGTGGTTTTTTTTAAAAAAAAAATTGGAATTTATTATTATATAGGATTTTGAGCATTTTAAAAAAAATTCATAGTAAATTATTATGCTCCAATTTTTATTAAATTTATAACTTCTTGGTTTTTTAGAAGGTAAAATAGGTGTAAAAATAATAATAAATTTTCATTTTTTTTTTATTAATTTTTAAAATAGTATTCTAAAAATCCATTGGACATTACAAGTTTTAATTTAAATAGAAAAATTCTGATCTCATATCCAAAATAACAAATGATATTTGCACCACCATTCTTTTCACTGGAGACTGTATTTGAAAAATGTATAACGTGTTCTGAAGATAACTATTTTAAAATGGATATAAAAGGAGTAGTAACTTTATGCATTTTTTCATGTATGCATTTATTAGTTTATGTAGACTAAAAAATTGTATAAGCTCAAATTCGGTAAGATAAAAGATAGGAAAAATTAAAATTATTTTTTTTTTATTTTTAAAATATGATTTCTATATCTGATAATCAAGTTAGCATTTATTTTACTTACAATAAAAATTATATATAATCACACCAAATCAAAACTTTACATAGATGTGATTGTACATATAAAGCTTCACTATAAGCACACTTCTTTATAGTCACACCATTTATTGATCCTGAAGGGTGTAACTGTAAAGAAGGATGACTATACATAGTTTTCATATTTACTACTATTACTAAATATATCAGTAAATAAGGGTCGTATAGCTAGTAGTATTATTAAATCATAGATTTACACAATTACTAATGGGATTCTTACTCAATACTACCTATCCTGATATTCCGATATTATTCATTAAGAATCAGCAGGGTAAACAATTACAAAATATGATTAATAATAGTACATGACGATTATAAGATAAATCTTATAATAATATGCAGAAATAGGACTTCAGACATCACATATATAACTCATAACTGATCTGTATGAATTTAAGTACTTTTTGCTCCTGCTAAAATAAACCTAATTTGCTAAAAATCAAATTATCACATTTCAAATCTATACTAATTTGCTAAAACTCAAAATATGAGTTAATAATCTTTTATTTTATTATCAATAAAAAAATAAATGATTAATATAAATTAAACTGCCAATTTTTATAATTAAAATATGTAGATTATAGATAAAATAATAATTAATAAAAATAATAAATTAAATAAACTGAATAATTATTAAAAAATAAAATGTTGCGAAACTAAACAGACAGTTTTTGGCCCGCATTATGCTTAATTTTGGCCGGAATTATACTTAATTTTGGCCAAAATATAATCCGGACCCTGAAATTAATATTTTTAAAAATATTATTTATAAAGTTAAAAAAAAAAGGATAAGTTAAATTTAAAAAAAAGTACCAATTTGCTCAAATATAAAATATGACTTTGTAAAATCAATACAATTTGCTAAAACTCATAATTATGACTATTAATTAATTTTCAATCAATTTGCTCTATCTAAAATTATGAGTTTAACCTAATTTTAATTGAATTTGCTAAAACTCAAATGTGAGTTATATATATGATGTCCGGGGTCCTACAGAAATAACAAGTTAAAATTAACTGAAGTATAACAATTTTATTATCGCTATTTTCGAATTGATTGAATTTGCATTATGTCGATCAAATTATAATAAAATTACTGAAAACACCAAAAATACTATGTGCGTGATATTACTTGATTTTCATTAATATTTGGTATAAAAGGTTAGTATCTGGCGCAGTTTGCATATCAAGTCTAAAAAATGACATGCGAATATCTTTCTGGCAATTGCTACACTTGTAAAAAGTGTTTATTTTGCTTTACTCTAGAAGCTTGCAAATGTGATAAAAATATAAAGCCAGTAAGAGTAGGTAGAGCTCTGAACGGTTCTGGTTTGTAAAGCTCCGCAACCTGATCTGACAGATCAGGTAACCTGACGGGTTGACCCAAAATATTTAGGTCAGATCATCAAATTCATGACCTGACACGGGTCAAGTCAGTGCTAGTCGGTACCTGACCTGATCTGTTGATCCAATATATATTTGGGTCAAATAAATTAAAAACACTGAAACTAATAGTTCCAGTGTTTTTACATGTAAAATTAAAATGAAAAACGCTAGAACTAATGATTCTAGCATTTTTACATGTAAAATTAAAAAAAAAATGCCAAAACTAATAGTTTTGGTATTTTTACATGTAAAATCAAAATGAAAACGCCAGAACTAATGATTCTGGTATTTTTACATGTAAAATCAAAATGAAAAATGCCAGAACTAATGATTCTGGCATTTTTACATGTAAAATCAAAATGAAAAATGCCAGAACTAATGATTCTGGCATTTTTACATGTAAAATCAAAATGAAAAATGCCAGAACTAATAATTCTGGCATTTTTACATTTAAAATCAAAAAAAAATGCTGAAACAAATAGTTTTAGCATTTTTATATATAAAAACAAAAGTAAAATGCTGGGACCTGACGTTTTTTCAATAAAAATTAAAAAAAATCTTTTTTTTTTAATTAAAAACGTCGAACCTGACGTTTTTTGTATAATTAATAAAAAAATGTTACAAAACATTTTTTTAATTAAAATATTTAATAATAAAACTTCGGGTAACCTGAGTTACCTGAAGTGACCTGAATACTTTCAGGTAAAATAGGTCAGGTCGGGTCAGAATAGTTTATCTGACCCGACCTGACCTGAAAAAAAATTTCAGTTTAGGTTAACCAGATAATCTGACCTGACTCAACCTATGTAGAGCTCTACCGGTTTGAACTGGAAACTAATCCAAAACTGACCAAAAATTTGGTTCAGTTCTCGGTTCAGTTTTGAAACTAGAACTGTTTAGTTCAATTCAGTTCTATTTTATTTTAAAAAAAAATGCAAAAATCAAAATAATTCAGCAACCAGTGATCGTATAAAAACAAGCAATAGCTCATTAGAATTGTCTCA